CGCTAGTCCCATACGGGCCCTTTCATCAGATCGCTAATATAATAGGATTTATGAAGGAGGCTAATAAAGGTTATGTCAAAGAAAATTAGATTTGATTAAAATGAATCAAATGGTATATTATAAAATTAAAATGTTAAATATAATGGAATACATATAATATTGAAAGGTATAAAATATATAAAATATTGAAATGTGAAGAGTATATAAAATACTGAAATATTATGAAGTATATAAAATATTGAAATATAATAATAATAGGTGTAAAATATTAAAATATAATGAAATATAATAATGCGATTAAATATAAGAAAATGCAGATTTAGCTCGCGTACAATTTAGATTTGAGACACACAATTATTGGCCGGAAATAGACAAATACATGTGATGAAATACAATTTAGAATTAGGAATTTCCAATTGAAGAAGACTCTTACAATCAAAATTGACTACGTCAATTTTGACTACTGGGAATTCCTCGGCAAAATATTCATAAAACGACCGGAAGAGTAATGGAAATGACTCACCCGATTATGTGGAAAAACTCCTATTGCTGCTATTTCTCTGCTGACTGGTTTCTGGAGGAAGGAGAATGGAGCACACACCCTGAACTGTTGCACCGATACACAATTATAACGCGTGAACTATTACGAAGTCTATTAAACTAAAACTACGTAAATGTATGTATTTATAAAGAAATAAAATTAAACTGAAGAATAAAAATAATGAATAAAATAATAATCGGAATAAACGAAAAATAAAAGGGATACGCGAAGATAGAGTCTTTTGCCCTATTTGCTACTTTCGAACAACTTGGAACAAAACTCGTGTCTGAACCACTTCGCGGACCCGCCGACACGCTGCTCGCGATTGTACGTCGAAGAGTGTCGCAATCTGCACCTCTCGGAGAAGACCAGAGCGGGCCTCGTCCGAAATTGTTTACATTGCGTTGTTGTGCGCCTAACGAATTAGGCGGCGGTGTCGATGCGTAAGGAGACGGGATTCGCTTATCGGTGGTACAGCAGGGATATGTGCGTACCTCTCTCTGTTTTAATCCTTCTCTTTCTAATTCGCGTATATTCCTTTACTCTTCCTGTCATACTAAAGACTAAAGATTCATTAAAATATAATAAATTTTACAAAATTGTTTTGATCTTAACGTTATAGGAAGGAAACATGCTTTTCAAAATTATTACAGATTACTGAATTTGAACGAATGCTAAATAAAAATTTTAATTCGCAACTTGGACTGACCGGCGTGGCGGAAATACAATATTACAGTGTTTAGTGAATTAGTAGAAAATTCGGATTATTATAATGTATGTATAAGGAATTTCGATCATGTTCGCGGAACCGATAAGGAACGTTCCAGAGTGGTCAGGATTATCGGACCACACGAATGATGTTTCGGGCTTACATCCGGCGATATTCAGTACCAAGGAAGACACGTGATTTTGAGCCGTGGGACCACGCTGGTTTCGAGGAAGGAATTTGTTACGCTAACAATTGGAATTATGTCTGGAAAAGATAGACTATCTCGAAATATCAAAGAACGTTTTTGCGTTCAGTCAGGGGAGGTCCAGAATGTAAAACAAGCCATCGATGTTCATGGTTTCCGTTCGCACCTCCAACTAAGGTCCAGGGTACGACGGATCAAGATGATGGGAGCAGGCCGATCAAAAAGAGGACAGGGGGGGGGGGGGGGGGGGGGCACAAGGTGAATGTGTAAAAATTTCTGTTCGGAACGTAACAATAGCATCAAAAAATAAAAGATAGCCTTCGAAAGGTATCTTAAAAGTTCCTGATAATTGTTTAGAGACTTGATAGAGCTGTATTTATTATGAAATAAATAAAAAAGAAAAATCTTTTACTTAATAAATAAATAGTCCACAAATACAATAATTTACCAAAAACATTTCATTTAGTAACAAAAACAAACATTACTGAAAAACTGAAGAACTTATATTCCTAAACATTCTAGAATTTGAAAATTTTGAACTATTATTTTTGCACATGTTAGTAATAAAATGTTTTAAAATACACTATGAAATCGGGAATTTTTAATTGATTAAGTCAAACCGATATACAAGGTGGTCGACAACAGGTGGGAGATTTTTTAAGGGGTGATTCTAAGGATCAAAATAAGTCGAAAATCAAGAATAACGAAATAGCGTTTGCGGCTTTGTTTTCCAATAATTAACGTTTAAAAATTCTAGTAATAATCGCCTAAAACCTGCAACCTGCCCAGCACCGATGACTGAACATCAGGTCAGCAAGGGTGAGTACAGTCATAACCAAGAATCATTGAATAGTAGAAACTTACCTTGTGCTATTCTGTTTCTCAGTACTGCAGCATTGGTACTACAGTCTTGGTTATAACAGTATCCACCCCTGCTGACCTGACGTTCAATCGTTGGTGCTGGGCAGAGTACAGGTTTCAGGCGCTTTTTATTTGAATTTTTAAACGTTAATTACTGAAAAACAAATTTGCAAATGCTTAATTTTCTTAATTCTTAATTTTCGTCTTATTTTGATCCCTAGAATCACCCCTTAAAAAATCACCCACCTGTTGTCGAACACCCTGTATATGTTTGTTAAACCTTGAACGACGGGCCATGGAGAGATCCACAATTTTAATGTAATCCATATTGTATTCCATATTATTCCATTATTCCAATAATATTCTGATGGTAGCACTAGTAATTTCGTACAGGATTGGTGATGTTGAGAAGAAGAAGGAGAGGGGTGAATAGAGACGTATGCAAAAAGGCAAGCGTGGAACAAGTCACAAGTAAAAAAGTAAAATCATTAAAATTGAGAAGACTGATTGGTTTATTTTTTTATATCGTAATAATTTAAGTTATGTACAGTTTATTTTTTTCTTTTCTAAATATATATATATTCATGTAAAACATAAAAAGTGTATTAATTACAACCCATAACCGAACACGTGAAAACAACATATTCCATATTATTCCATATCATTTTTATTTTCTACATTTTTGCACCGTTTCGTTAAAAATTATTTTTCCAATATATGAAACTCTTACGTTTAAAAATTATGCGTTTAACTTTAGGTTAATATCCGTGTAAATATTTCGTAAGTTTAGGTCATAACTGATCCAGGCTTCCCTCTTCAAGGGTTAAACGTATAACGGTTATAAATGCAAATTATTTCTTTACTAATTTATGATCGGAAATCAGGTAGAAACGATAACAACGGATTATGCAGAAGGTGTTCAAAAATGCAATTTAAGATCTCGCAACGTAGCAGTGGATTTTTCGCGAAAGCGTACGATAATAACGCCACTTGGGGCTTCGTGAATGACGGTTGCAAGGGACCATTGTTTGCGGTTCTGAAGTAACACCTTAAATATTTTCTGCCGACGGCGAAGCTGAGCTGTCACGAACCCACCAGTCGACGTTGTTACTGATTGATTAAAATAGAAATTGCAGATTTAAAATTCAGATTTTCTGAAGGAATTCTATTCAACGCTGATCTATAGCAAATTTCTTCGTAAAAAATACCTATTTTTTGCCTGGTTAATATGAACTGTATAATTTGGACATGTCAGTGATTTTAATTGTTGGTTTTGACCTCAATTATTATATGAAATGTTTCTTAAGGGTAAAAAATTGTTACATTATCTATTTATAAAAATTGCAAATCAAGCATTGTTTATAATTCTGTGGATTGGTACAAGAAGTACCAATATTAGTATTTATGAAGTTGAGATATTAACACTTAAATATATGTTAAACAATTCATGTACAAATATAATTTCTGACGCAAAGTTTCTCCTGTTTCAAATTTCTTTTTTAATGCAGAAAGAAAAAATTAAAGCTTATGCCATTTACTGATTTAACAAAAAAGAACGTAAGTTTATTTAATGTTTATTTGATAACAAATTTTTGAGATTGGAATTTACAAATGTCATTATAACCATTTTTAGAAAGAATATAAAATTGTTGTTTTTTATATGGAGTATACAATTGTTTACAAACTCAGTACTGCATTTAATTCATTTTTACAAAATTATGACATTGGCATTTCTTGTACCAAGTCGCAGAAATATATTTGGAAAGGAAGATCTAACATATTATCTTTTTTTTTATTCTATAATATTTATAAAGCCTGCTGTTTTATTAATAAAAATGTTTGTTCATAAAAGAATAATTATAGCAAGAAAACCCAAAGGATTTAGAAGTTAATTTGTATTAAAAATAAGATGGTGTAAAAATCCCAAAACGGCTTGACCGAAATGAACCAAAATTATGGAACTTTATTTTGAATATCATCAATGCACGCTCTTGCTGACACCATTTTAAGAATCCGACTTTACAAAGCTAATCATGGCGGTCATTTGAAAAAAGATCTTTATAAATCATATTTCACCATTTTTAGTGAAAAACATGAAAATTTAATAAATTCAGAAATTATAAATATTTTAAGTCTCTTAGTGATTTTTATGCCATTTTTTATTTGCTTAAGAATGTTACATGATTATATAAATCATTTTCGTTAAACTATTACTGTGACTTGCAAGAAGTGCCAATGTCATGTTATTGCAAAAATGAGTTCAATCTTGTTTGGAATTTGTGAACAATTGTATACTGTATATTAAAAACGATAATTTCAAATTCTATCTAGAAAATAACTAAGATAGAATTAAGTTTTAATTTGTTAATTCCAATGTCAAAATTGTTTATAAAATAAGCTTATTTAATAAACTTATGTATTTTAGTAAAAAAATGTAAATAGTATAATTAAACTTTAATACTTTCTTTGTGTATTAAAAATTTACAACAGCAGGTACTTCTGTATGAGAAATTGTTTGAAATTAAATTTTTTTTCATATCTTCAGATGCTAATATCGCAATTTTATAAGTACCGACATTGGTACTTCTTACACATTCTTTTATACCTCATTGCATAATATCAGAATTTTAATTTTTCGTTATATTAAGTGATGTGTATAGTGTTATCAGAATTTCTTTTCACAGTTCAGCCCATGGTTTGGATCGAAAACCAGTTAGTAGGCGCTTACGAGGGCCAAAGACTTACCTTGGAATGCCATAGCGAAGCTTATCCAAGACCGATCACTTACTGGACAAGACCAACAAATGAAACGATTGCGAATGGTACGTATATACTTTTTTTCTTGCAAGAAACCTTTGCTTTATGGTTTGAATGTATTCGTTTATTCAGTCATAATACTGTGCGCGGCAGAGGAATAAGAAATTTAAAAATTTCAGTAACTTTCAGGAGAAAAAAAAGTACAAAAATTAAAGAAAATTTAAGGAAGCTCTGAATAAGAAGAAACAAACATTTGCTTGAAAATTGATATAATAACCTCAGTTGTACGTATGGATTTAGAGAGTATTAATTTATTACAAAATGGTAAGTTTATAAAGGATAAGTTTTGGAACTCGATAAAATTTCATATTAAATAAAAATCAATATAAAAATAAAATAAGAGATATGCAAATGAATGCCTTCAACGTTACACTTTCTTATTGTTAATTACTATTTTAATATTTTCCCGCCCTTCTGTGATTTTCAAAAATGGCGCGAAAATATGATAACAATAAATTCAACAATTAAAATCACAGATGGATCTTTAATTGCAAAAAAAAGGCATCAAATTAATTTGTACGTCTAATACTTGATCTGTTTCTTTTAGTGTTAATTATTGGTTCTAGCAAAAGAAACTAATTATTCAATTAAGAATTCCATATGTACAACCGAAGATAATATTCTCATGAAGAATCGTTAAAAATTTTACGTAAAACGAATAGAAATTAGCGAAGTTATGTTGTCTAGTTTGAGAAACAACGCTTCAACATAAATGCATTTGAAGTTGAAGACTTGACGTTTCAGTGTTGTACACTCGCGATCAAATCAGACTTCCCTAGGGAAAATAGCAATATAATGAAAGCAGGAATTCTCGAAATCTTACTTTTCATGATAATATTACATAATATTAAAGATTATTTACGAAAAATTTATATAATTTGTAATTATTAAATATATTGAAATTTAATATATAATTAAGAAATATGAATAATAAATAAACGTCAATTTAAATTTACCCGCGTAAACGTTTATACACAAGTGGTGGGGAGTCTCCACCAGTCACAAGAAGACCCATGAGAATAACGCAATCTGATTGGTCGCGCCCGCCTCAGCTCACACGTACTTTCGGTCATGACGTATGATTGGTCGAAGTGATCACATCTACTAATTGGACTCATGTAAAACTAGGGGATCAGTCGATGTGTGTGTAGTATGCCCTCTTGCCCCTGTGCCGTCCCGCGAGACTTCTTGTCATCGGTGGACAATACCTATACATATACATATGGGGTTTCTTCCCGTACATAGTCTCATCGGAGATGCCTACGGAGAAGGACGAGTACTCGGAGCACCACCATTTTTCCTTTGAGATGGTTTTTAAGAATCAACGAAATTTTTAATTTAGGTTGACAATCAAGTTTATTTATTGTTTATGTATTCGCATTTTTACAATAATTATATTCATATCCAATAGTTAGTTGGATAAATAGAATAATTGGGGATGTCAAACTCCATCTCATCAGTTAAGGATCAAGTTTTAGTCATTTCAATTACATTCTGCAATATCCATGCTTTTACTGTGACATGCACAATACACATAGTTTATATTCGGGTAATGCTAATGTAGTTTCCCCGATTTGTTTCATCCTAATATCGTTGCTTTAAACGTGGTTTAGACTTTTCGTTATAACTGAGGAGTAAAGTAAGACGTGCACGTACAAAGGGTTAAGGAAACGTGTATGCCGTTAACGTCGTTAATTGATAAGACGGTCTCGATGAAATGTATAATACTCCCGTGATACTAAGCGCACATTTCTATATTCTGTATACCGGCAATAATTACCGCGAAAAATGTAGAAACATTTATTTCTGGATTAATTGATATGTCGTTGGGTTTTAAGCACGAAAAAGTTGCCTGTGGCGTGACAGAAACTCGTTAAACTTACAGATTAAGGTGAATGAAACAAACGACAAGAAAGACGCGAATGAAAGCATAAAGATGAAAAAGAAGCGTGAAAAGGTATAAAATTGTTTCGTTTTACACTTTTCGCAATTTATAAAAGAATTTTGCTGAAATATTAAATCCAGCACTGAGCAAGATATGAATAAAATACGCAGTGAGACAATCTTTAATGCATTATTCATTTATAAATAATATATTGTTGTTAAATGTGTCACAAAACATAATTATGAAAGTTGTTTTAAATTAATTATATAAAATATTCCCAGTTTAATGGCTGCTGTCATGTATTCTAGATTTTAATATTCAACTTTTCATATTGTTAGCCTTCACCTTGGTTTTACATACTCTATTAAATACAGCTTGGAACTTGAAATATACAGTGTGTCTCGCGTAAATGGAAACACTCCATTATTTCCTAAGTTATTAAAGATACAAGAAATTGCTTTGGTGGTCATTGCATGGTGAGAGGGAGCAAGATTTTGACATAGACGAATTTTTTTTTGCATTGTTATTTTCATTAAGCTTGCATGTATACACTTGATTTTCATTTGTTTTCGAGATATTGCGCTAACTGGAGATTTTTCACGGGAGAAATTCACTTCAGTGGGTAATATTAGCCGGGGTCCTGTTCGCGTCTAAAGTTTGGGCCTGTCGTCCCGCTAGCCTCCCGTGGTATCCATTTCAACCAATCAACCGATTCAATCATTTGACGTAAAACAATTCTCGAGTATTAAATTATTTGTGTATGTTGTGTTAGTTGCGTCTGTATAGGAAAAATTCTATGTATTGTACGAAAGTTTTTAATTAATATCTCGGAAACTAATAGGAAGCCGAAGATACCACTTTATATTTGGGGTCCCCTCCCCCCTCATCCCTCTCCCTCAAAATTTCATCTTGATCGACGACCGGTCGTATTCGGAACTTTATCCATTATTTTTATTATTGTTTTATATTATTTGTTTTATTTTATTTTATTTAAAAAATTTGTTTATGAATTTACTTATGTCTAAACATCACATTCATTGAAGGTTTTCATTTTTAATTTTCTCTTTTCTTCTTTTAAATAGATTATTAATTAAGAAGCACTTTGTGGGATTTGAGGGAACGCGCGAATAATTGACTCGCGATGATGGGTAAAATATAGTTTATTATCTCGATGTTCTCCTCTCAACGTTCCAATTCTCACTTGTCAGTCATCCCTCGCCATGCACGCAACGTCCTAAATCGCTCTCTTACACTCATTCGCGGTGTCAAATGTCCCGCGCCCGCTGGGTCCGTCGTCCCACAATTGTATCACCTGCATACAGTAAAACCTGGATAAATGCAACGAAAGAATGCTTGGATAAGTGCAACATCGCTGTCCCCTCCACTTGGGGGGATCCCCCTAAACGAACCGAGCCGCTCGACGAGAAAACCGTGTAATATGATCCGACCGTAATATCGGTGTGACTAATACTAATTGAACGATAAAACTTTTTTATTTTTAACTTTTTCTTAATGAAACTTTTACTAACGCATTTGTGAGATTTTTCTGATTAAAATGACACCAAACATGATATAGTTTGAATTATATTTATAAACAATAGTAATAGAATAAATAACATAGAATTGACACCACGACTGAATATAAATGATGTCGGCTGAATACAAAAGATGTGTACGGACACAGAATCGGCATGTCGGCTGAATACAAAACATGTGTACGGACGCAGAATCGACACCTCGCTTGGATAAATGCAACATTAAATGCCCAGAATCGCCACCTTGCCTGGATAAATGAAACCTTTGAAACCAGAGCCGACACCGCGACTGGTTTTGATTTCGTTCTCTGTTGCTTTTCGCCAACCTTTAACATCAATTTTAGCAAGTAATTATAAATGAAACTATATCGTGTTTGGTACCATTTTAATCAGAAAAATTCACCAATGCGTTAGTAAGTTTCAATAACAAAAAGTCAAAAATAAAAAAGTTTTATAGTTGAATTAGTATAGTCACACCGATACGTTTCGGCTCTTTCCTTTGATCATCGGACCTCTCTCTTTCCGCCACTGTCTGTCCCTTTCTACGTTCACGCTTGGCTGGTCGTCGCGTGTAACCCGAGATTCGACACCTCGCTTGGATAAATGCAACCACTGGGTCCCAATCTTGGTTGCATTTATCCAGGTTTTACTGTAATGCAAAACTACTCTATAATAGAGATGTAAATTTCTGTTGTTACAAAATGTTAAAATCTTCCCATAAAAAGAAATGTGTTTAGGTAACATCTTTCTTTCATTTAGTTATTTTTGTTATTTACTACATGCGATAAATCAATAATAAAACAGATTACTTAATTCTAGTAAAGAATCTTAGAATTGTGTACATACATGTAACAAAATATTCGGTCGGTGAATATGTATAACGATTTTAAAAACAGTTTATAATTACAAAGCCACTGTGTAAGTGTGCGAAATAGAATTAAGAAGAGAAATACTTTCGCATTCATGAAAATTCCTTCACGTTCTACGGTTGAATTTAAATTAGAAAAATTCTAATTAAGTCGAGCTATACGAAAAATCTTGTTTTTCAAGCACAAGTGATACATGTAAATTCATCTTGTTCAAATGTTGATCAAGGTAACACTGAATATTAAACTTGATTACGACCATGTTCATATTTAACTGCATTTATTTTTGAAGGTTAATATAAACATTTTCGTATTTCAAGCAACCCTTTCGCAACCCTTGAAAGTTGTAAATACGAAATAGAGATTAGAAATGAATAATTCTGAAAATCGTAATGAATCCCTCTTTCTAAATTTTCAAGCTCGGCACATGCTGAAACTGATCTCATCACTAATTATTGAACCTCCAATTTGATTTTCTGTACATTTTTCCTAATGTTAAAGTACAAGTTGATTTTTCGGTATTAAAAACTTTTTTCATTAACTACCTAAAGCTGAGTATCCACCTGTATCAAACGCCCGTATCGTATCACCGTTCCCAACCCTTTTGAATAGGCAGACGTTGTCTCGTTGCATGCCACGACGTGCTACGGCTCGGACAATATTTCTTCGTCTCTTGAAAGAAACTCCTATAGGCGAGAAGTTTCGATTTCCTGCATGCTGTTTCTTTATTGTAATTGTCCTAACCATATCGTGTTTGGTATCATTTTAATCAGAAAAACGTCACAAATATCTTGGTAAAAGTTTTATAAGAAAAAAATGAAAAATAACAAAGTTCAGTCATTGTATTAGTATTATCTCACTGATATATCCGATTCCAGATCATATTATCTCGAGCCTCAAGTATCATGTTTCCACTTGACATAGCATTTTGGGCCTTCGCCTGGGTATGTTGTTTTTACGTTTCAAGTGGTCTCCGAACCTATCCTTTGAACAGCAAGAAACCGACAATTTTCGGATCGACCCGTTCCTTCACCTCCGTATCACAGCCCAATAGAACTTTCGATACTCGGCAACGGAAAAATCTCTGGAAAATTAACATTGTCCTTTTTCAATAATCACAGAGGTTCTTATTAACATTGCTCTTTTATGTACAGCGTATCACTAAAGATAATTGATCTGTTTAAATATATTTAGACAATAAAATTTGTCTAAATTAAATTAGATTAAGTTCATAAATAATTTCATCGATTTTGAAATGAATCCAATAATACCGCAAGATTTCAAATAAATTGAAACCCAAGTGACGGCACGAAACGCTATGTCAAGTGCAAACGCATAAACCTTTCCTTCGATGCAACGGCAAAGAATCGACAAATTTTTCGGATGGGTCCGTTGCCTCCGTTCCTTTGGAACGGCACGCAGCAAGACGAAACTCCTCGCCTGTAGTGGCCCAGTCCTATTGCCGAACCGTTTCTATCAAGAAACGAAGAAATATTGTCCGAGCCGTAGCACGCCGAGGCATGCAACGAGGCAACGTCTGCCTATTCAAAAGGTTCGGAACGGTGATACGATACGGGCGTTTGATACAGGTGGATACTCGGCTTAATACAGGTGGATACTCGGCTTAAGAACTAGCTTTATTAGAAATTAATAGAGAAATAGAAAATTCGAAAATAGAAATTAATAAATTTCTCGCTACTGCCTAATATCAACTAAATCATGATGAGTCCATCCATTCATAACGTCATTCTGAAATAATTACTTTATTTATTGCTAGTTTGTAGCATTAAAAAAAATAAGCATCCGAGTTTGGTATCTTTTCTTTAATAAGACTTATTGTTAGAAGAAAATAATACAGTAGTCTCTCGTCATATTGCGTCGGACCAGGTTATAGAAGTGGAAAGTTTCCTGGAATATTATACATATATAGTTCTCAATTCGTTCTTTTAATTATGTGCGCCTAAAATCAATCATCCGTTTCCAAATTAGGGTGAATATTCCTTTTAAATAATAATCTTTACCTTAGAAGTGAAATTAAATTATAGTATGCTCTCGTTATATTGCCACGTGAACGATTTGTCCTTCACACTGATTTTCAAGCATACAAGTGCCAAGCTTTGGAAAGGAGAGGGTAAAAATGTGTCACCTTTGTAGGCTATAATGATGTAACAGCGATATTAGTCGGCTTGAAAATCCGCGTAAAGAACAAATCGCTCATGTGGCAATATAACGATTATTTATTGTATATTGAATTTCGAATTAAATAATGAATACATTGTAAGCTACTTATTTCCAGTTATAATAAACATGCATGATGCAATATTTTTCAACTTTTCGAAAGATGATAATAACTGCAATTAATTACATATTTTGGTTAATTATTTCCCATATTTACAGTGGTATAATTTTGTACATTCATGAGTTGTGATAAAGTCAGTGCAAACGAAAAACAGCTCTTTTTAGAGCTGTTACATTTTCACAAGGAGAAAAGGTTAAAGGTAATTAATTTTCGTTCCCATTTGCATTTTCAATTACTGTTCCTTTTAGGGAGGAGGAATAACTCGAACAAAAGCTGGGCTGATTAACTTATTTCAATCCACTGATTACTACTTACAATTAGTTAGAAGAACTCATGAAAATGTATTAATTTTTTTTTTCATAATGTTTGAATACATTGACTTTAGCAGACAATTGATTGCATTCTAATTTTAAGATTTGTTTTTAACCGACTTCGAAAAAGGCGGAGGTTACTCAATTCGATCAGTATATGTATGTATATTGTTTTTTTCTGTGTGTTCACCGATTACTCCGAGATGGATGGACCAATCGGAACGAAGCTTGTTGCATCTTGTACCGTATAACTCCCCATTGGTCCCGTGAAAAATTATTTTGCATTTTTTCATTCCTAACGATTTTTTTTTCTTAATGTATGTTCGACGATTACTCTGAGACGGATGGACCAATCGGAACAAAACCTTTTGAATCTTGTAGAGTATAACTCCCCATTGGTCCCGTAAAAAATATATTTTGAATCTTTTCATTCCTAACAACTTTTATTGCAAAAAACGTATTGGTTCATTTATATTTTTTCGGCGTTCACTCTACAAGGAATACACCGATCGCGATGAAACTTTTCACATCTCGTAGATCTTCCCATGATGATCCCATTTGCAAAAATTTAAGTAACTTCTTATTGTTAATAACTATTGTTATTTAAAAAACCTATTCTTTAGGGTTACTCTGCAAGGAATGTACCGATCACGATGAAACCTCTCATATCTAATAGGAGATATTTCCACGATGATCCTACTTGCTTAAATGTACGGAACTTGTTATCGTTAATAACTATCGTTATTGCAATTAACCAATAAGAACGGTAAATCTCCTTACGGCATCCTACAAATACTACTCGTTCCACTAAAAAGTGTGAAATAAAATAATTTTTAATAAGAAATACAACCGACTTCAAAATGCACTACTCATTTCTACAACAAAATGCACTAACAAGTATCAAATAATTTCTATTTTTATCCGACTTTGAAAAGGAGGATGATACTCATTTCGATGTATTTTTTTTTTATTTATACAAATACCCAACAGCTATTAATAAAACCTATTTATTCGTTAAATAGTATATTAAATACATTTCAACCTTTTCGGAGGCGGTGCAAAATTAAAAATATCAGAATAAACAATGTTGCCAATAATCATTTGATTACGGTATGGCGCACTTGGTAATTAATAAATCGTAAGAAAAAAAATACGAAACGTTATAAATACGGCTGATAACATCTGTAATTGTAACGATTGCATCAGAAGGTGGCAACATTTCTGATGTACATGAAATTGAATCGACTTCATTAGTATGTGAAAGCCATGGATCTAAGAACCTATGGACGGAGCTCTCGGCGCGGGGGTTGCTAAATTTGCGGCAGTGGGGCTGTCTCTTTCTAGAATATGCCGCGATCGGGTCTTTCCGCCGCATACTCAATGATTCCAGATAGACCACACATTCTACACGCACTAACACGGACTCCGCACCGTGTTGTCGAGTTATATAGGAAAGAGACAGATATACACGCTTCGCCTATATTCGGCTACTCAAAAGTTGACAATCGGGACTGTTGAAGAAAATTTGTTAATTTTGCGCCGCCTCCGAAAAGGTTGAAATGTATTTAGTATACTATTTAACGATCAAATAGGTTTTATTAATAGGTTTTATTAATAATTGGGTATTTATATAAATGAAATAGAAATTATTTCATTAGGAAAAAGAAATTATTTCATACTTTTTAGTGCATTTCGTTGTAGAAATGAAGTATACGTTATTTTACACTTTTTAGTGCATTTTGAAGTCGGCTGTATTTTTTTTTTTTTTAATTATTTTATTGTTTTCCTTCTTGTTCCTTGTAATGTAATTGTATTCTTTCGTCTTTCTGACAAGACCCAATTGGAGACAGTCCTTTGTGCTCTCTCGTCGAAGCTCGTTGACGAGCTTTCCTGGCAATTACGCCATGTAGAAGTTACACTTTAACGAGTGTAGTGAACATTGTGCTGTACAGAAAAAACTCGTCTCTGAAGTATTGTTCATTTGTTGATAAGAATTGGAATTCTGAAAGCCTTTTATTCAAATCCTTCGTTCTTTGATTTTGAAACATAATTGCAAATCAAAGTATTAAATCGTTGTAGTATATTTATTTTTTTTATTTAAAATATTGAAATAATGGTTCGTTTGTTAATGGGAACAAGAAATTAAATTGATGAGAACTAAAAGTGACCTACTCTCAGATATGAATATTCGTAGATTACGACTTTCGAAAGTTTAATCACGATTAAGCTTAGAAAGTAAATAAAAATTTGAAAAAGTACATTTTAATTTTAGATGTCTAATATATTTTTATAAATTTTTATGTTATTCCAATATTCCAAAAGTGTACATTATGATTAGATAAGTAATGTATTGTTATTTGTGGTACAGTAAAAAGAATAATACTTTAGGTAGACCGGATTCAATATACAACAAATTATGAAAATGTTTCACTCCACGCTCATGAGATCGTAATGAGCTCGTCGCATTTCCTTTTGTTACGTTCGATTTATATCTCAATGGTCGAATTTAAACGGCATGCGACTTTATCCAGTCAATTTGAGCTGACACACGTGTATAGACACTGGGATATTCAGTAAGGGCACAACCCCTCGACCAAGATACGAGACCAGTGAGTTCTCCATTGACAGTCAATGGACCACCAGAGTCACCCTATCAAATCAAAAAACACAATTTTCTAAATACAATTCAACTGAAAGAAAATACAAAATAATTCTGGCAAACTGTCAATACGTTATCGTTATTAATGCTCTAGTAAAATAATAAAATGACGAATTATCGGTTTGCTTATCAAAGTTGATATAAACTAGTAGCACGCTTTGCTAATGTCATACGCAATTCTTTAAAAAAATACTCTTCTTTGTTCTTAGCTATCTGTAATAATTAGCTGTTATCGTAAATCTTGCATGCTACATACGTTGCATATTCCCTTCTTTACGCTTGGGTAGTAAGCACAAACTTGCGAATCATATACTTTTCGGATGTCTTTGTAACTGTATTTGCAGTATTCTTGATCAGCGATCAAGATGTTGACACGTTGTAGGTGAACGGGTGCGGGACCACCTTCCTGTAATTGTCAGATTTTAGAAAAGTGTCGTTCAGTTTGAATAAAAATTTTAATTTGCTAGCAAATATTTTTTTACGTACGTTTTTTCGACCAATTGAGAAAATTTTCAATATAAATTTTATTTTGTCATTCATATTATTTATTACTTGAACAGTATGGCAACTTTTACTACTTTTACAAATTTAGTATAATAAAGAATTATGCTACTTACCCGTCTGCCCCATCCAGAGACTACTGCAGTATCATTGGCTTTAACAACTTGGTTCTTTGATGGAAGTTGGACAAAAGCAATTTGTTCGGACTTCACAAATGGTTTCTCGACCTATAGAAATATTTATTTAGGTAAAAATTTCAGAAGGTTAGTGGTATATAAGTGAAGAAATATTTTTATTCTAAATACCTTGAGCAGAGCAATGTCGTTCTTCCATGAATCAGTTTTGTTATACTTTTCGTTAATGATGATTTCCTTAACATAGTGTTCAGACTTTGGAGCAGTCAAATTTATCGTACCAGCAATTACCTTGATAGTTGCCGCTGTTGTGCTTAAAGAAATGTCAGTTTCTTCGTTATTATTACCTTCTTATGAACGTTCACACTAACGTAGTTTTATGTAAATTCTTGAAATCCTTACTAATAGACACAACTAGCGGCGGTGATAACATAGTTTTCATTAAGAATGGATCCACCACAGAAATGGAACGAACTGTCCTTACCTTGAAGGGACACCTAACAACATACGGATATGTTGTAGTAATTTCAGGAAATTCAATAAGTAATGTGTACAGATGTGACACATAATATTCTTAACACACTCATTATTTATGTTTATTTATTCAATGTTGCATTCAATTAAATTTTGTTAATAAAATTATTTAATTTGAACTTTTAACATGCATTCAAGATTCAAAATTACCCCGGGTATAATGCTTACGAAGTTAATGAATTGTTATTCCTCTTTTTAAAGAAGATTAATTTTTTTTCTTTTGCAAAAAGCTGTACATATTGTTGTTTTTAACTAACCTGGTAGGGGATTTCTCCTACTTTAGCATTCTCTCCGTTCACGATCCTAGGATCAAATCTCAGTATCCCAGCTACGTAAATAATAACAGAACCGAATAATTAGTGTAGCGCAGTAATTACGGATGGAGCCGTTGTTTATTAGTGTAAGTTGACACCAATTGCACCTATTTGTTATCTAGTTCTATTTAATCGCACAGATTACAATTTGCAATCACTAACAGTCCAGCAATTCTTTGCTTTACACGAAGTAGAGAATTGTTTTATAATCTGTAGGAGAGGGGAGAAAAAGGCGTTTCGCCCCGAGTCGTCTGTCAGACTCGTCCAGTGGAGCTGACAACAAACGATTCCTAACCCCAGGACACCTATCGTACCGTTATTCGGAACTTATACAGGGTGATTCTCTCGCTACGCAAGACAAAAACCGTGCCGCACAATGGAATCCCTGCTGTTCCGTTTCTTGTCTTCGTTTCAGCCATAAACACACACAGAACAGTCTTGGGTCCGGCGATATGGCCCTTGGGTCTCTTTACGTGCGTAAACAGCAAGGTTCGATTGTGTGGCACAGCTTTTGTCTTACGTAGCGAGAGAATCACACTGTATATATTCGAACGGCATGCCAGACGAGCGCTTGCGAGAGAACACCGATCAACTCGCCGCTACCTAGCGTCCCCAGTCCGAACTCAAGGCGTCCGGGGAGACGAAACTCTTTCGTCCGCTCCACTCAACGCCTACAAATCATATTAACACTGATGATTAACACTAGGGCGTAAATGTTTATTTGAGAATATTTTATTCAGTACTTTTTTATTATTGCATATTTAACTTTTCAAAATATTTTAATCGAATCAATCAAAATGAATAATAATTGTGATCACTTACCGTTGGAGAGGGATAAGAGTGTGAAAAGAGACAAAGTTGTTAGTAGCATGATTCCGTATGAATTGTTCGCCAAAGGAGACTGCTAAAATCTCGCTGATGGCTATTTTATATGTATATCCCCACTACGGTCTTTCAAAACTGGACAAGTTCATTTCGCAAGTCTCAAGATTAGATAGATACTGTGATTTGTGTTCTATCAACACGTCGATTTCGTGATTGATTCAGATTGTCGCGATTAATTATTTTCCGACAATATTTCAAACGTTAATTGATAATCTCCGATCATGTGTAAAGCTTACTCTCTCGACTGCTTTATTTCCTTCGTATTTGGCAACGTTTGCAAGAAACGTTTCTGCTTAATTATAGGATATTTCTAACGAGTGAAATTAACTTATAATGATTTGCAAGGTAATTTGAGGGTTCATGGGTTCATGCAAGGGTTCATCGACATATCAAGCGAGTATACAAAGTACAATTTCGGTTTTTTCCCTGAATTTTGGATATGATAAGTGAGGACTGATTGTATTAGCAATTAAAATCGATAAATGATTCAGGTAAGTGAAGAAGATTCATCTTATTGATTAATCTTGATTCATTTATTTTATCTGTTGCTGCTTAAAAATGTTTGTCTGTAAAATGAAAATTTATCTACTGTTCGCAATCGTCATGCTATTCTAGGATAAAAGTATCGTTACATTTATTTTATTCTTTTATAATAATTCTACTTTTACTCATTATGCAATTCAGGCGTAAAATTTTTACTTGATAGCAAGACATTTGGAAAGAATTCTTATCTCTTGGTCTGTATACAAAATATATTGAGTACCAAATAGAACTAATAGTACTATATGGAATTAATAATTGTTAATTTAATCAAAGTTTACAATTGCGAAGTCCAATAATTTTTTATCTGCGTGAACTGATAGGGGTTCGTCTTAAGGAAGTGACTTGTCATTTTATATCAACAAATTATCAGATCAAGATCGGCCTGATACAGAAGTGCCCACTTGAGATCAAAAATGCGGACGCGGGCGCCTCTGTATTGCGATGCTACTGTTACGTGCGGGGCGCGCGTGTGTGCTCGGGACGCTACCGTAAGTGACAGCCGTTGTATGAGTATAAAAGTATGTGATGTAGTAGTGTGGTAGTCGAGCTATGTGATTAACGGTAACAATTTCTATTGTTATTGGGCCAAAAATGTTGTGAGTTCGGAAATACACTAATCCCATACGGGCCCTTTCATCAGATCGCTAATATTACAGGATTGATAAAGGAGGCTAATAAAAAGGTTATGTTAGAGTAAATGAGAATCGATTAAGGTGAACCAAAAATAGTATATTATAAAATAAAAATATAAAAATAGAATGTTATAAAAAAAATATTAAAGTATATAAAAATAGTATATTATCAAAGTATAAAAGAAAATATGGTAATTATTGAGATTAGGTTACACCTCACCGATTTTGATGAAATTTAAATATGTCGTAAAACTCAACAGTTTGAACAACTTTTTCCTATACATATAACCGCCGCTCAGCCTTAGTTTTAGAGATATTTTCGAAAAACTGCTGCTACTACTACAATGAATTCTACGTATACTTATGCATCTACGGCGGCGGATGCGTCAGCAACGGACCGCCGCTTATCTACTGTTTTCACAAACGCATTGCGGCGGCCGAAAAGATAGATATAACGGATAAATGATGGTTACGAAACCATACTTACAATTAGTAGAACAAATTTTTCGGGACGAATAGCAAGCATTGAATTCTTAAAGGCGTGGGTGGGGCCTCACACCTGCCCCATAAAATATAACCTAACCTAACCTTACCTAATTATTCTATTGATGGAGGATGCACAACTGTGTAAATATGTAAATAGGATAATTAAGTTAGGTTAGGTTATAATTTATGGGGAAGGGGTGCCAATGCGTTTAGATCTTGAACTTTTTCGGAGGCAATATGTATCTATAGATTAAAGAAATATAAACCGTCAATACCGTGTTAAAAAGGTCACCCGTTATATCTATGGCTTTTCGACCGCCGCGATGTGTTTGTGAAAACAGTAAATAAGCGGCAATCCGATGGTGACGCATTCGCCGCCGTACATGCATAGTTATACGTAGAATTCATTGTAGTGTTACGTCGCGAGCGAAAGAGAGAGACGGCGCGCGACGTACAAAATAAAAAAAACGAAAAACGAAAATGTAAGAAAAATTACGAGAATGCAAGGAATAGGTTCGTATTGCACAATGTGGGCGTATTAAAGTAACACTGGAACTCGGAGTTCGTAATAAGGCTTGTACGTTAATTTTAATCGATGATGTGGACACGTCCACGATCAAGACAAGAGTGACTTGTAGCCAAAACGTTAGCCGTGAGGACGCCTACGTCACCATGGCCCTTTTCCTACCGAGTTTATGCCGCTTTGTCCTTACAGGAAAAACCCGTGACGTACTAACCGTGAAATACCGTTGCCGAGGTGCGCACGGTCCGCTCTAACAGTTGTATCTTTTTAAAATTTCTAACAAAAACGAGGGTTTTACTATGTTTTATTATGTTGACTGATACGCGGTTGAGAACGGTATTAGCGCTGCCACCAGTCCTAATCGCTCGAGACGATGTTAGATCCTTCGCGATTAGAACAATAAAAGAGTTGATAAATAGATTAATAGTTAATTAAGAATTTAATTGGGTTCGTCAATGCTCTAGTCCCATACGGGCCCCTCGTGTGAATTTGTACGAAGATGGTAGGCGTGAAAATGAAGGAAAAAGGAAGTGGTTTGAAACGTAAATGAATCGAAACAGTTTAGGCGTAACAAAAATATAATCTCAAAAAGTAAACGTGACAATAAATGGTTGATTAACAGAAAATGCGAGCTGTTTGAAATACAAGGGAAAATAAATGCATTATTAAGAAAGGTTTAGATTATATGAAAGTGAGACTATTGATTATGGAATAATTAATGTTTGATTAAACGATTCGACGATTCGAGCGACGATGTCGTATACAGAACTGAACGCGAACAAAAAGAAAGAACGGTCCCAGAGGGTAAACTACCAGAATCACGGTTTCGTGGGGCCGCCCTCTTTTGTGTGAGAAACGGAATTTTCCAAATATATTAGATATTCGATACCTTATGTCTCTATTGTGAACGGAACGATCTAGAGGGAAACTTTCCAGAATACGCGGTTTCGTAGATCGCCCGTTTTGCCTCGCTACGTCCAGATTCGTCGTATTAGATAAAAGGAAATGGACAACTTACCAGGAAACAAGATGAAATGATATTTAATAATAGCTTTGATAAACGCTTTCTTTGCTGGTATCGTTGAGAAATCTGGAAATCAAAAAAGACGATGAGGAAAACTGCCACTGCACTACGCGTTCGCGATCGGCCTTTATTACGGTATTACGGAACGATTAGTTACGAAACGAGCACAAAAGTATTATAAAGACGACGCGACGCGAAAGGGAAAAAAAAAAAGGAAAATAATAATTAATTTAGCGGACGGTTTAAAAACAAAAGAGAAAAGATAGATCATTGAAAAGTGTGAAAAGAATTTAACGTATTCGTATGAGTCCTTTACGCGGAAAACGCGAACCGCAATCTCCCGGCACTCTGCCTTTTTCAAGGACTTTACCGGTCAGCTAATTACGACAATTTCACGCGAAAACTATTGCTCGACGCGAACACGGGCTCCCCGTCACGTACCTCACGATTTTTCGACGAAGAGTCATTTGCCTCAGTCTAGCGATCGTGTCTCAGGGTTCGACCCGCGATCAAGGGCCCAAAGTGGGGACATCATTTGGCAAATCGGGGTACGTGACGGAGGGGAAATCCCGCGCGTATTGGGCTAGTTGGCCGCTCTTCCTAGTTCCCTCATCCCTTCCTGGTTTTTCCTTCTACCTTCGTCTAAGGTTGTCCATTTCTTTCTACCTCTCTAACGCTACAACGGATTTCATGCGTCTCAATTCTAAAGTTCTGGAATATTCGAAATCTGTTACGACTTAATTTATTTGAATTTACTAGTTAAAGAGGCTTTTATCATGATATCGAAAGAGGTCTTCATTTTATTAAAAATATTTGGTTTACTAGTTTGAATGACCATTAGTTGAATGTCGTTAGTTATTATTCATGCGTTAATTGTACTGTTAATTTTGTTGTTTAGCGGTTTACGCGAGATGCAGCCGGTGTTTTATAATCGTCGACAATTGTGGATACATGCGTGTCGCATTTAGTTAATATTCATTTCGCTCTTATTAGTTATTAACATTCTTATTCGTATCTCGACGATTTACGTATAATCGAACGTTCTACGTTTAACTTTTAACGACGATGTTTATAGACTCGGTCGACCTTTGTCTCGAACATTCGTGAACGATTTCGAACTACAGCGGTTGTCACGCAAACCCTCGCATTCTAATATCATTCAAATAGTTTCATTCCGTTAGATTTCAATTGCTTTCGTTCTTAATTGCATTCATTCTTTGGTGGAAGGGTCGGCTGACGCATGCTTTGCAGGTATGAGAGGTACCTAGCTAATAAAATAGAAGAAAATTCTTCTTTATGTTGCACGGTTAAGTTGGGAAATTTCCAAGTGCGTCGCACTGCTTAACCGCGCGGCGAAGGATGTTTATGGTACCTCTCCCTAAACGGTTTCGACTTTCGAAGTTTTTGTCGCTGCGTAGTTTCGACAAGGCAATCATCCCAAGGAAAGGTTGACTTGTATTATTTGAAAGAACTAAATATAGCCTCCTTTGTGTGCCTCGCCTGGGATTATCTCCAAGTGTTTCGCACTGGCGAGGTACACAAGCTCGGTATATTATACGATTAAACTATTCAACACTGTCAAAAAGAAAATGAAAATAAATGTTAACCACGGTCGGATTATTGAAAATAATCCGGACGTAACAGTAGTAGTAGTAGCAGTTTTTCGAAAATATCTCGAAAACTAAGGCTGAGCGGTGGTTATATGTATAGGAAAAAGTTGTTCCAAATGTTGAATTTTACAACATATTTAAATTTCATCAAAACCGGTGAACTGTAACCTAATCTCAATAATTACCGAAAATATAATAAAATGCATTGAAATTATTATTACTACTGAATCACTGGGCACTCGGTCCTCTAGGGACCATTGTGCTCGAGCCCATGCGGGCAGTTCTTACAATTAGTACCGAGGGAAATTGTGAAGGCCGGCCTCCCTTGCAAAGCCCAGGAGCCTGCCCACTCCAATGTCCTCCACATGTGCGTCGTCAAGGACCGGTGTCCCCCTGAGCCTCAAGTCCTTTGCAACGCAATATCAAGTGGAGAGGAGTCTCATCCTCCTTTCCACATCTACATATGAATACTCCACAGCTATTAATAAAACCTACAATTTAATCGTTAAATAGTATACTAAATTTTCAACCTTTTCGGAGGCGGCGCAAATTTTATATTTTTTTAGCGCATCTTGAAGTCGGTTGTATTTTTTGTTAAAAATTATTTTATTTAATTAATAGCTCTTTTCGAGACATTGTCAAAATTTCCGAAATATTATTAAAACTGCCATAATTGTATTTTGTCACTTCTCTCTTCCCTTCAGAAAATTTCTTACAATGATGTCTAAAACGCCATGATGTTAAATTATATTTCAACATGTGTAATCATACATTCTAAATAGTAACATTGGATAATGAAAATTCATAAGTTAATGAAAAATAATTACAACACTTGAAATTTTATTATGTGAAAATTTAAATTTAAATAATTTTTATTCATCTTATAACTTTTTTCTGATTTAATCTATAACATTTGTATTTCGTATAGTTTAGAATCTAAACTTTAGACCATTTTTGCCACACCGTAAAAATGCACATGTGCACCATCGGTAGATCCAATCCTGAAAACCAATCCTGAAAACTGCTTTTCAAATACTAAACAAATCTTTAATTTAATTTCTTATGCGAGTTGTATACTTTCATGTTTAAAAACTACTTTACTCTTTAGATATAAAAAAATTTATTTTTTTAGTAAAACAATGTTCCTTGTTAATTTGGAAAATACTATTTTCTTTCGTTTCTGTTCATATATCTATTTTATTCTATACGTAATGAATGTGGTGTTCGAATTTCGCGCGATCGGGCAAGGTGGGCCCATTACAAAAAACAAAAGAAACCGTCGTCGTTGCGACGGTTGCGACTTGCGAATAATAAATTCTCTTTTCTTGTGTACATACTTCTTTATTCTTCTATTTTCCTACGTGAATTATAGAGTAAAAATTGCAGAATGACAGAAAAATTACAGTTAATATGCTCTACCATTATAACGCATCAATGTTGATTTAATTTCCGTGACATACTTTTATAGTCAGTCAATATCCCATATATTGAAGGAATCTTGTATTCAAGTAAACAAGAGTATACTGCAGTGTAGCAAAATTATCGTCTTGAGCATTCAACATGCAACGTATTTTGATATATTGTATTTAAGGTGCAAATAAGTCCAATGTCTGGTGTTCCGCATTGTCGGTGTTATAGCTACGAATAAACACCGTGGAAGTCCAACATATACGACACCTGTGCTGCGGCGAAAATGATATCTGCACGAATAACGTGGTCGCTACGCTGGTGTATTAACTTTGCTCAATTTCATAACGTCGAAGCGACTTCACACATAAATAGTTATCTAACCATCAACGGGCTTCTTGTTATTTCAAACTAATGTTATTCGGCTACTATCATATGTGTCACTCTGAATAATAGTAGTGCATCTCTATTAGCATTCACTCTTGTCAAATAATTATACTTTTTATGTGATTTATTTTATAATTTATTGTATTTGAGTTTTATGTAGATTAGATCAATTTTGCCATCCTAACATTTTTCGCTCTATGCAAATGTACATGTTGCATTGTTGGTAGAGCTCTATGAGTTGAACCACTATTATTTTGAATGACATCTACCATGTTAATTTTCTTTTTAGTAAGAACCAATTATCATTACATGGTCACGAAGTTAATGATAATAAATGATATGCTTCTACGTGTTGCTATTATAAATATGATATGAATAAATTTTCTATGGTGCAATTTCCATATAAACAATTTTTCGTGTCATCAATAATTACGAAATAAAACACCTGTCACACTTTAGCGCAGACACCCTGTACATATGTATGTACATAAAAGAAAAATGGCGATATAGAAAAGGGATACTCCAGAGTTACCATATATTATACATACCTTGCTTTAATATTGTTCGTTGAAAAAATATAATTAACTAACATAATTTTAAGAAGGCAATTTTATTTGATGGATAAATTCATATTGATATTTTAGATTCATGTAACTATAATAATAATTAGACTATTATTAAAATAATACGAATAAGTTTGCCTACACGTAAAAATATTAAAAATTGTAATCATATTTAAAAAACTTTAAACATTCTGGTTTTTAGGATGTTAAGATTAATTTTGAAAAAAGTAATATAGTTTCAATAATTAAATATTACAAAGCTTAACATGTAATTGAAAAAATATTAATAATAAAGCAAATATTAAATAAAATTTTGGGTGAACTTGTCGATGAGGTCCTCCCCCTCCGATTTTGATGATTTTTAAATATGTTATAAAATTCGTCATTTGAAGCAACTTTTTTCCTCTAAGTTATATGTCGGACTCGATTGGTTTGCGAGATATTCGCGAAAGAATATTGTTACTACTACAGCGAATTCTGCCTGTACACTGACGAGGGGAACTACCCAAGTGTTACGCTCACTTATTAATGAAACTTTGCCACCTTGTAGAGCTCGTCGCCCTGAATACGCCTATACCCCATTTTGGGGGCAGACGACTAATTGTTTAAAAGATATTAACAATTAAAGTTAGTTACTCCTTACATTGAGAAGCATGACAAACTAACACATATAAATGCTTAGCTCCGAGGTAAAACGCTTGACTCGCAATCGAACTGGCCACGGTTCAAATCCATGGTTCCCAACCTTTTTTTCTTTTTTCTTTTTAATGATAATTTGTCTCTTTTTGAATAACTATTACAACTGTGCTATAATCATTGCATTTATTAATAGGTAATTAATTACATGTGCTGAAATTTTTATAGAATTCAAGTTATCTTTTCTATCCAATACGTACATTAACACCCTTACCGCATTTAAAATTTACTCGCGTTTATTTGATGCGCCGGCTCTCTTGTCTATCGTTTCTGTAAACAACAGCGTGTGGTCCGGCTGCTAATCATACAACAGATGAGGTGAAAAATCAAATTATAACATTTGACACTCGTGGCCGGCGATCTATTAATATTAATCTAACCTAACCTAACCTACATGTATAAGTAACAGAAAAATGTGATATACGTTTCCTGTTACTTACATGTCACGATTAGGTTAGGCTACATCAATATTCCGGCCGCCTGTAGGCGGCCGGCCAAACAAGTGCGATGTCAAAATTATTGAAATTAGTTAAATTTAATTTTAAGCTCACCCGTTATATGAATGGTAGTCGGGCCACGTGGTGCTGTTGACAAAAACACTAGAGAAGCGAGGGTCGCATGCCGACGCACACACAGCCGCGGACGTATACGTGCAGGCGAAATTCAATGGGCTAGTACTCATAGTTTCTCGCGAATATCTCGCAAACTAATCGAGTCCGACATATAGCTTAGAGGAAAAAAGTTGCTCAAAATGACGAATTTTACAACATATTTAAAAATCATCAAAATCGGAGGGGTAGGACCTCATCTACAAGTTTACCAAAGTAACCATTTTCCCTAGGGAAGCGTACGATGTTATTTTTCAAAAATATTTATAAGTAAATGGAAAAAATTAATTACTCAAAATAAGTGAATAAATAAATTCATATTCAGAGAAAGGAAATATTGCTAATTATTATTAATACCTTTTGTCCGTAGATAACAACTACGAAGTAGAAACAATTCCAAAGGGATATGAGATAACCATGAGGTTAACCATAAAAGCTGTGCGACCTCAGGACTTTGGATCGTTTCGGTGCGTGGCAACCAACTCATTAGGCGAAACCGACGGAAAAATCAAGCTGTACAGTAAGTATGATTAATATTCAACTTTTATCTGTAAATAATCAGATTAAATAGTCCCGGCTTTGCATGTTTGCCATAAGCAAGTGGAATATCATATGTAAAATAAAAATGATAACAAACTTTAAAAGCAAAAGAAATTACGACTTTTCATTAAAGAAAGTTAAAACAGTCATTGTATAATGACTGCAAGTTATTGAAATTAATTTGAAACACCGTCATTTTTATAAAACGACAATAAATCTTTCTTCTACTTGATTATTTTTGTTATCTAGTATTAAATTCTATTATTGTTATCGTGGTTTTTTATAAATAAATCTCTATACAGTAAACTCTCGTTATATTGCCGCGGATGAGATTGTGGGAGCAGAAAATTTTTCAAACTTCCAAATTTCCTTTAGATGAAGGAGGGGAGACAAAGTCATCTTCATAGGCTATCATGGTATAAGAGTGGTACTAATATACTTGAAAATCTGTGTCAAGGTCAAATCGTTCATGTGGCAATATAACGAGAACCTACTGTACATATATAAAGTCCTAACTGATTCACCGATTTAGAGATAATCAATGTCTAATAATAAGCCAAACCACTGGACTTAGAAATTTGAAATTTTGGGAATGGCTTCTCCTTAAAAAGTAAGCATCCACTAAGAAGGGATTTTTCAGAATTCGCCTCCCAGTGGGGTGAAAAAGGTGGTTGAAATTTTAGACCTTTTCGGTAACGGTTTGATTTAAAACATGAACTTTGGTAGAAATACGTTGTGTTGAAATCTATTAGCCACGTGTAAAACAAAACTTCGATTTTCCCTTTTTGAAGGGTTGAAACGGGGGTAGTAGATGGATTTAAAGGTAAATCAGACATTGAATGAGTCAGGAACACAACGTTCAGAAAAGTGATCTTTCTGAAGAAATACAATTTTTTTGAAATAAATGAAACGAATACACAAAAATAAATAAATTAAAGAGGCCTTTAAAAAAGCGGCGCGAAGCAAGGGTAATTGGCTAGTAAATAATAAAATTACAAATTAAATACAAAAGATTCATTTTTAATAGTTGATATAATTAAAGACTACTTTTCAATTGATCTACTTCTCAATTATTATATTATATTGCGTACTTTCATTTTGTAGCCTTTTTTGCTATCAAGTATTTTCACAAGTTTTTAACATTAGAACGTGAGTGCTGTTTTGTTGTATTATATAATTCAGGACTGTACGACTAAAATTAAAAGATATTTCCATGAAAATATAAAAAAGGAAAGGATTACGGCCTCAATGCAGAAAATGCTGTTACGTTCCGAACAGAAATTTTTACACATTCACCATGTCCCCCCCCCTCTTTGTCCTCTTTTTGATGGGTCTATCCCCATCATCTTGATCCGTTGTACCTTCGACCTTGGTTAGAGGTATAAACGGAAACCATGAACATCGATGGATTGTTTTACATTCTGGACCTCCCCTGATTGAACGCAGAAACGATCTTTAATATTTCGAGATAGTCTATCTTTTCCAGACGTAATTCCGATTGTTAGCGTAACAAATTCCTTCCTCGAAATCAGCGTGGTTCCACGGTTCAAAATCACGTGTCGTCTTTGGTTCTGAGTAAACCCGAAACATCATTCGTGTGGTCCGATAATCCTGACCACTCTAAAACGTTCCTTATCAGCTCCGCGAAGATGATCGAAATTCCTTATATATACATTATAATAATACATTTTCTATTAATTCATTAAATACTGTAATATTGTATTTCCTCCACGCCGGTCAGTCCAAGATGCGAATTCAAACTTTTCTTTAACATTCGTTCAAATTCAGTAATCTGTATTAATTTTGAAAAACATGTTTTCTTCCTATAACGTTAAGATCAAAACAATTTTGTAAAATGTATTATTCTTTAATGAATATCGAAATCTTTAGTATGACAGGAAGAGTAAGGGAACATATTCGAATTAAAAAGAGAAAGATTAAAACAGAGAGAGGAGCGCACATATCCCTGCTGCACCATCGATAAGCGAATCCCGCCTCCTTACGCATCGACACCGCCGTTTAATTCGTTAGGCGTACAACAACGCAATGTAAACAATTTCGGACGAGGCCCAACCTGGTCTTCTCCGAGAGGTACAGATTGCGACACTCTTCGACGTACAATCGTGAGCAGCGTGTCGGCGGGTCCGCGAAGTGGTTCGACACGAGTTTTGTTCCAAGTTGTTCGAAAGTAGCAAATAGGGCAAAAGACTCTATCTTCGTGTATCTGTTGGCGCAGTGCGGGGAGAATAATACTCACTGTTACACACTAGCATTTATTAATACACGATATGATAATGAATAACATATAGCATAATAATGAGTAAATTAAAAGGTAAATATATGAAATAAAAGCATTACATTACGATTGCGACTACGTGGCACATAAAGAAAAAATACCAAGAATAAACCGGAACATATATCTGTGTCGCCGCCTTACAGTGGGCCTCAACAACTAACGTCTTTTTCAAGCGGGAATTATAACCCATCTACAGTATCCATTTTACTTTCTTTTATTTTGATTATTATTTTACTCATTATTTTAATTTTCCAGTTTAATTCTATTTCTTAATAAATACATACAATTACGTAGTTTAGTTTAATAGACTTCACAATAGTTCGTGCATTCAAAATTGTGTATCGGTGTAGCAGTTCAAGGTCTGTGCGTTTTACTCTCCTTCCTCCAGAAACCAGTCAACAGGAAAATAGCAGCAATAGAAATCGGGGCTCATATACGGAGTTTTTCCACATAATCCGGTGAGTCGTTTCCATTACTCTTCCGGTTATTTTATGAATATCTTACCGAGGAATTTCCAGTAGTCAAAATTGACGTAGTCAGTTTTGATTGTAAGAGTCTTCTTCAATTGGAAATTCCTAATTCTAAATTGTATTTTATCACATGTATCTGTCTATTTCCGGCCAGTAATTGTGTGTCTCAAATTTAAATTGTTCATGAGCTAAATCCGCATTCTCGTATATTTAATCGCATTATTACATCTCATCATATTTCATTGTATTTTAATATTTTATACCTATTATCATATTTCAATATTTTATATATTTTATACTTTTCAATATTTTATATACTCTTCACATTCCAATATTTTATATATTTTATACTTTTCAATATTATATGTATTTCATTATATTTTAATACTTTTATTTTATAATATACCATTTTTGATTCATTTTAATCAAATCTAATTTTCTTTAACGTAACCTTTTGTTATCCTCCTTCATAAATCCTATTATATTAGCGATCTGATGAAAGGGCCCCTATGGGACTAGCGTATCTCCGAACTCACAAATATTTAGTAACATTTTCTGGCTTTACGGCGTCACACGCGCGTCACGGTATCGATAATTGCATTGCTCGACTAACACACTACCACATTTCATACTCTTACACTCTTACATCAGCTGACACTTCCATACAGTAGCGTCACAACCACACGCGCGCGCGCCGCACGTAACAATGCAAAACCACGTTAATAGTTACCTCCAATTGATTCAATCAGAGAAAATAAAAGGGCTTCGCCATAAAAAGGGAATCGTTTAGATCTGCTAAACTATTCATCAACAAAGCTTTTCTGATAGTAGTACAGTATTGATCCGTAATAAGCAACAGTTTTCTGGCTTGAAATAAGCAAATCTTTATCCCCACCTTTTCGTTTAATGTCGCCCGCAAAGTGAGAGGTCCGAGAAATGAGTGAGAGGTCCGTGAAAGCGAAAAGCCGATGTTTTGGGTAATAAATTGTCACGCTCGACTGAGCAGTGACATCGGTTAGTAGAAGAAGGATGGAATATATATAATGCTTTCTCAGTCTAGCATATTTGCCTTGACATAAGCGAAATAGTGTGAGAATGAGAGGGCGTGCTATATTCTATTCTTGTTCAAAAAATAACATCCTTACTCGGCCGATCACTTTATGATTTGCCGCTACCTCGGATCTCGCACTTGTTTCTCGCGATCTCTATCGTCCCGTTTCGAGAACACAGTCGAGCCGAATAGCCTCCCTGATCCGTAATAAGCAACAGGCCAGACCCGAGCGTGTTGCTTATTACCAGGCAATCCTGTATATTTATTGAAATTATTATTAAAACATCTCATACGTAATCAATTTTTCCAATTAATAGTTTATGCACAAATAGGTGCGGAAATTATTAGGTTCAGTTAGTAACTTCTTAATTGAACTGATATGAGTAAAATAATATCCTTTTAGCAGTTAACATATAGTATTAATGAAATTCAAAAATTCAAAAAGTTCAGGATTTAAAAATTTCAGAATTCCAAAGTTCCAGAACTAAAGAATTTCAGAATTTCGAAGTTCCTGAATTAAAAAATTTCAGAATTCAAAGGTATCAAAACTCAAACATGTGAGGATTCTAGAACTCAAAAACTCTAGAATTCCAGAATTCAAAAATTTTAGTATTTAAAAATTCCAGAACTTCAGAATACGAGAATCTTACAGCTGCAGAGTTCCAAAATTCTAAAATTCAGAACAAATACACTTCCAATTAAAAATTTAATCGTATCCATTAAAATACAGTATGATTGAAAGTAACTATATGTAAGAAAAGAAATTAATTACCTTACAAATCATAATCATTATAATCCCCTAGCATTGCAACAATGTGTTTTGAAAGACTAAAGGGTATACAGTAATGCTTCGAAATAAGCAAGTGACTCGGGACCGAACAGTTGCTTATTTCGAAGCAGGTTGCTATTCGGCTTGACTTTGTTCTCGAAACGAGACGATAGAGAACGCGAGAAACGAGTGCGAGATCCGAGGTAGCGGCAAATCATAAAGTGATCGGCCGAGCAGCGATGTTATTTTTTGAATAAGGATAGAATATAGCATGCCCTCTCATTCTCGCACTATGCTTTATTTCGAAGCAAATATACCCGACTGAGAAAGCATTACAGTAATGCTTCGAAATAAGCAAGTGGCTCGGGACCGAACAGTTGCTTATTTCGAAGCA